GAAGAAATGCCAACCATCTTCTATCACACAGAAGAGAAATCCAACCATTGAATTTCGGAGCGTGTCCCATTACACAAAAGAAGCGACGTCTTCTATTACATAGAAGCAACATCCAGCAACCGTACCAAAGAATCTTCTACTACATAGAATAAAGGAAGCTTCATCTCCTACTTCACAAGAGAGAAGTTTTAGCAACCGAATCATGAAGAATCTCCTACTTCACAAAAGAGCCTTTGTCTTCTACTACACAGAAGCAAAGTTCAGAAACTGTAACAAAGAATCTTTCTACTACATAAAAGAAACTAAACTCTGAATATAGTATTCGACCTTTGAAGTATTTTTCTTCTACACAACAGCCGATATCCAAGAACTCTTATACTTCTTCATCACAGAAGCATCATCCCATCTTATACTTACACATAAGAAGCATCCAACTGAGGAAAAAGAGTCTGAAATGGTTTTCCAAACATGGACTGAACCTTGGAAAAGAATCCAAACAAGTACCAAACTTTATACTTCAACCCCTTGCAGTATTCAATATCTTGACTAAATGCCCCAGAACGGGAGACACATCAAGCATTTGTATCAAAATCAGGAGAGAAAATTGTTGGAGGATGGCTCAAAGCGCGAAGCTTAATCACCTGAGCTTCCAACACCATGAGGAAGTAACTGGATACAAGGTATAAAGATTTTATCAACCTGCCTCTCAAGCTTTCTTTGTCTCTGTTGGTAATTTTCTTACCCCATGGGTTCATTTGGAAACCAGAAATTAGCTGCTAGCAAGAAAATCCGAGAATATGAAGCTATGGGTGAGACCAGACCCACAAAGTATCTCATGATTTGAAAAAAGTCCCATAGGCTGGGGATGAATGATAACTCCTGTTGCAACAACATATACAAGATCACTTTTCTTTGCTGACATTGTCTTCAAAACTTTCATACCCGACTCAACCGAGTCTTCAACTGGCTATTTTTCCCCTTGAAGATTTCTAACTACAGGCCATTGCTTGCATATCCCTAATAAACAACCCCATTTGATTCTGTTCGTCTCATCCAATTCCCCATAAAGTTGCTTCATAACTTGAATCTGATCACGAAGCGGCGAGAAGTCAAGATTGGCAGTTCTGAAAAGAAAATACTGAGTCCGAATAAGGATTCCCCATTCTGAGTACCTTCTGAGTACCTTCTATGGATGCATGAAGGTTCATGAAGATGCATGAGGTGAGTGAGAGGATTCCAGATTTGGACACCACAGTCTCCGGATTGATCTCGTCTTGGGCCTTGTCTCTGGATGACGTACTCTCTTCAATCGAATGATCAATTGCCCCAGAATAATATGCATAGAAGATTCCTTCAGGAGAACAAATGAATGCTTCTTTAAGTGAAAACTGCATCATCAAGCATACTACGCCAGAAAAGCTAATACAGTTTGTCTTCTATCAAAACAAAAGAGACATCCACCTGGTGAAAGAGAGTTTGGAAGAGACTCCAAACAGGTGTTGGGCTTTTATAACCCCTTTGTAGTCTTCAATATCAAAACTGGGTACCCCAGAATAGGAAATGTATCTAACATACATATCGTAATCAGAAGAGACGTTCGTGGGAGGAAGTTCTCAAAGATCAGAGCTGGGAAGAACTGGGAATAATAGGATGTAATGCATTGGGCTCGCATTAGCATGCTCATCAGGGTTCTTGTCTCTTGGCTTAAAAGCTTTGCCCCCTGGATTTACTTGGGGAATAAAGACTGGCTCTTGTTGAACAAATTAGGGGACACCAAGTTTTGGAGGATGCCCCTGATTAAAAAGTCTGATGCCCCGGTGTGGCAACCACATCTGACGTTGATCAATAAGAACGAAGCACTGATATAAGATCCTACAAAAAATGGGAACCACCTCCTGCTGTGACAGTAGGTGCAAGATTGTTGACATCGTCATCAGAGCTTTCATGACCTATCTCATCTGAGTTTTCAATCAATTATCTTCCTGCTTGAAGATATTTTTGACTACGGGCCAAAGCTTGCATGTATATCACTCAGAGCTATTCCATAACCGATCCCTGAGCATGTGATAGTAAGAATCAAGTTGAACCTCTGAAGAAAACACATGGTCTGAGCAGGAATCCCCAATCTTCAAGTACCTGTTATGGATGCATGAAGATGCATGGGGTGCATGAATGGATGCCTTGTCATGTCCTGTCATTTCCAAGGAGTTTACGTGCTTTGATTTTGATTTTACGTAAGCAAAAGATGGAAAAGTTTGGCATAAGGCTTACAAATACGATTCCTTGGAAATCACAGAACATGTGTGCTAAGTATGTGGCCGACCATGTTATGTATGCACAGATATGAGATCAAATGGGATCATGGTTCCATCATTTCCAAATATGATTGCTGCGTTATTCTGAACCATATGAATATCATCAAATCAAAGGTCCGACATAGCTTCCGCACATATAAAAGCCGAGTACTATGTAGATCTAAGTAGCATGAGATCAAGGCTTCAGGAACATCAGGTACTGTTTGAGCTTTTCTGAGTATGATGGGAATGCCAAGATCAAAGGCTTGAATGAACTTCCAAGTAAGCAAGTCAGGAACTCAGAAAATAAATCTGAGAACCATATGGTCACCAACAGAACACCATATGCATAAGTCATTGACAGAAGTCCATAACGTGATCATTAGAACCACTAATCACCATCTGATCACAGTCTCCATCTGAGCATGAGTAACCATTTGAACAAAGCACCAACTGTACCTGTAATGACAAATCCCTCCCCACTCACGGGTGAAGACTAGGTCAGGGTAAGACAATGGTAACTCGAAAATCATGGGTCCGCCTGAAAGTACTATGGGATTACCCACAGACGTGGGTGCCGATAGTAATTCATTTGAACCTCATCCGAGCGTGGTATATGACAAGACTGCACTAATCGGACCACGTCCTATAGCCGTCATGCCCCCACTCTATTCCTAGTGTCCTAGTGCACTCTGGCCTGGGTACTGGGCCTTTTACCTCAATAGTAGCATCCCCACCCAACATGGAAAACATAGTCCAGCATAATAGATGACAAATAGGGAAAGCAATAAAATGCAATGCAAGCTTATGCTCAGATAAACATGTACAAATGAGTAAACTGAAAGCATAAAAATAAACACCCAAAGAAAAGAAAGCAAGAGCTAGGAACGACTCCGGGATGGACCAACATTTGGTCGACCAGTTCCCCAGTGAAGTCGCCAACTGAAACAACCGGCTGAAAATCATCAAACAATGAAGTCGCCATCGAACTTCTTTTATCCCAAAGGTAGGGAAAGGTAAACATCGAGAAAACCCGAGAAGGGAGAAATCAAGGTCTTGCGACCGAGAGATAAGGGTAAGGGAGTCTGTTACGCGAGGGGAAGGTATTAGCACCCCACACGCCCGTAGTACTCTACGGTATCCACTCTTGTTGTCTATCTTATGGGTGTGTTCAATCTATGCTTATTGTTTATTACTACTAAGGGAGAATGCATGTAAAATAAGAGAGAAAAGAATGTAGGGAAAATGAAAAGTTGTGCTCGCTCGGGCCCTACCCCAATGCCTACGTATCCCTTTTAAGGAATCAGAGCAGCCGTAGTTCGGCTTATGTTTTTGTTTGTTTGTATTTTTTTAATTAACAATATTAATTTCGCCTTCTGCCGCAACTCGACCTTTGGAGACTTACGCGTCAGCACAGAAGTGAATTAACATGCTCTCTTGAAAAGTTTGGAAAGAAATGAGCCTGGACGCACAAAAGAGGTTTGCACTTGTTTGTTTTTGAATGAACGATAGTAATTTCGCCTTCTGCCGCAACTCGACCTTTGGAGACTTATGCGTCAGCACAGAAGTGAATTAATATGCTTCTTTTGGAAAGGTTTTGAAAGAAAGGCCCGAAGGCAGAAAGAGTTTGTATTGGTTGATATTTTTGCTTGTGGATAATAGCTAGTTAATCTCAAGAGAGAGATTTTAGCCACGTCTCTACTTATTCGTGAAATGAGTCTTCGAGACTTGAACCATGCCAAGGCTTAGAATAAGAGAATGATAAGATCGAGAAAAAACCCGCTTATCATCTCCCAAACTTAACAAAGACATGATTCTTGTCAGTAAATTTTTAAGTATTTTAAGGTTTGTAAAAAAAGAAATTTTTGTTTTAAATGCATATGAAAAAAGGGAAAGAAAAGTCAAAGGGGGACTAGCTTATTTCTAAACCTAATGTTATTGTGTATTAGACCTAAAGTTATATGTTTCAAAGGAATTCTACCTGATGTTCGCATGCATAGCTTGCAGTAAAGTCCTGTTTCTCCTGATTTCTAGAAAAGCAATAAAGTACGAGAATGGGGAATAAAATGAGGTTGTGGAGATACCAAGCGAATAAGAGTTCGTAATACAACAAGCAAAATAGAGAAGCCTGGAAAACTTCGAATAAGATCTGAATCATCATGTGATAGTCCTGCATGAAGATATAAGATTTATACAAGGCAAAAAAATACTCCGCTAACGACTCATGGTACGAGAAATCTCTGTTGAAACCCTTAAACCACTCATTAGACCAAATAAATTTAATCGAAGATACAAAATCACCAAGAATGTGCTAAAGTCCTAATTCTAATCATGTACCAAACATTAATTTAATTAATTCCTAAACCAATAGAAAAATTATGAAAAAAAATATTATCAAGTCAAGAATCAACATATTAATACCCACACAAAATTCCAGCAAAAAATCATGGGAGGAAGTATCAATGTTAATTGCTAGAAAATCAAAGGATTATGATGAAATTAACATGAAACAAGGTGGTGTGAGGACTGAAATAGTAGTGTGAATAATGCTGGCCCATGCTGAAAAGCCCATAAGCATTTTTTTCCTTCTTTCAATTATTTAAGTTTTTGTCAAAAATTCTTAATGGACCCAAAAGAAGGGGTTGCCCTGTCCAACAAGTCCCATTCTTCTCTAATTTCCAGCATTATTATTAATTTGACCTAAAAAAAGAAAACAATAAAATAATTAAAACTAAAAGGAATAAACATGTGAAATTAAAAAAGGGGTTTAGGGTTGAGGAACAAATCCGTCTCTTCATCTCTCTCACGAAGCTTGGTGGCGCCGCACGTCTCTTTTCCTCTTCTTCGATTCATACATCAAACTCCGGTGTCGAAGCTCCGCTCACCTTTGTCTTCGATGCTACTGTTTCATTCTTCTTCAATCTCAGAACTCACGGCCGTCTTCGTGCTCTCCTACTCAACTTGACGGTGCGGCTTCTCCATAAATCTTTGTCTCCGATTCGCTTTACTTTGCAAGCATCTCTGATCCAACTTCAACGGCGCGGCTTCTTCTGTGCGAACTCGCTCCGATCTCAGATTCCAATTATTTTTTGGAGTCGCTCCGATGGTGTTTCAAGCGCGACGGAGATGATGAGAAGTCAGAGAGCATCTTCAACAATTGCTCATGTATGTATATCTCGAATCGCTTTTGATTCGTCTTCTATCGCCCTTCTTTTATTTCCCTTTTTTTCGATATGTATTGAAGTAAACACAAAGATGGTGACGATATCGGTGCTATCGCATTAGTGTAGCTGTTATTGCTTAATGTTATTGCAAGATTCATGAATTGATTTCTGATTTGACGCAGAAATGTTGCCACAACGTGTTGTTGTTGTTTGAAGCAGGGATAACGAAGTTGATGGAGATAGAAGAAGGTGTAGATGCGGTTTTTGCGGTTTGCTAAATGCTGATGAACATAGAAAATGATAATGATGTGAAGAAGACGATTTACACAAAGATGAACCAGTCTGAAGCTTGAAGCAATAAAAAAAGGCTCAGCAATTTGCAGAGAAAAATAAAGGTAAGCCTTCAAGCTTTTTCTATGATCTTTTTTTTAGTAATGAATTCTGATTCTTCCCCTGAAAACTGGATTTTCTGTAGAGTTGGTTAGAAGATGGAATTTGGAAACTCTGTTTGTTTGGTTATAACTGTTTGCAGGTCAATGACTTGAATCAAGAAGATCGATTAAACGCGTTGGAAGAAAATGAGTGAAACTCGTGAAGAAGATGTGATTGCTTGCAAGTTGATGATGTCAAAGGATGAGGATGATGAATCTGTGCAAAGATCAGGATGCAAAAAATTGATGAAGATGCAGAGAATGTTGTGTTATTTGCTGTGGATTGAAGCAGAAAGTTTTCGGAGACTTCGTGAACTCTTCTATGGATTTGATGTAGAGAATACAGTTAGAAGAGAAAGTGCAGAGAGAAGATAAAAATGAAGATGAAAAGAATCCAGAAAGTTTCTATGATGGTGCTTTTTCAGAATGCTTGAAGAATGAATCATGAAAGAGGTAAATTTTTCTCTAACTTTTCCTGAACTTTTTTTGAGAAAATTTTCTGGAGTTTTTTTTGTGTGGATGAAGATGAGACACCTTCTTCTGTGGAATTTCTGAACGACCCCCCCCCCCCCCCCCCCCCCCCTTCAACCAAGGTGAATTTACTCTATCTTATACTGTAGAGCTGTTAGGAGTTTGGTTATAAAATTCTGTTATGGAATTAGTTAAAATTAGTTGTCAAAAATTCTGTTATGAGGAAGTTAGTTATTGGAATTGGTTAAAATTAGTTTGGAGGTTGGAGGAAGTTTGTTAAGTTTGTGAAAGTTAGTTAAAAAAAATGTTAGAATTCAGTTAGGACAGTTGAATGAGTTAATTAGAAATTGGTTAGGCGGTTAGAAGGTAGAAACTGTTAGAGGAGTTTGTTACTCTTTTAGGAAAATTAGTTGTTAATTATGTTTGGCAGTCAGAGAGTTTGTTAATAGTTTGTTAGGAAATTTATGTTAGAATTCTGTTAGAAAATTTTGGTTAGAAGTTTGTTATGGTTACAAGTTAGTTATGAACTGTTAACTGTTTATTGATTTTTGCTTTTTAATCTTTCTATGCAGGGCTGAACTGGTTGCTTTTGTATTGGGTTCAAATTTTTCATTTAACTTACAAAATAAGTTTTCTTTAAAACTAGAAGGATCCCATGTCGGGGGTTTAAAGTACGTATCGTAATTTCAACCGATGGATGGCATCGGGAAGCTTCCTCAGCAACGTTGCCTGCTGACTTAGTAGCTTCTCCTCTGGCATCAGATTGAACTGCATTGCACTGGCAAAGAACTGGAACCGAAGCCTTAGTTGTGAGATATTCTGAATTTCACCCAAATGTGAAAACAAACCAATCGTACCACCAACAACGGCAGAGATAATCGAATACCATATTTGTAAATCCATGAAGTATATCAGCACAACAGGTAACCATAGCATAACAACTGCAACTCTGTTGGTGTTATTGAAAAACTCATGCCATTTATAATTAATGCCCCTAAGTTTCAATAGGGCCTTTGTAACAGCTTTGTTTTGTAATCTTGAAATGACATGTACTGTAACATGAGTGAATGAAAGACGCTCGAATGACTGAACTTGAGTAATTTGAATAATTTGGATGACCATGGATGGGAATAGTTCCGACTTGTAATAGAAATTTGATTTCCTTTGTAAATTTGTAGCCTTTTGTATATTTTGAGAATTATGTAGTCAAAGCAGAGGCTTGAATGAGATGTAACTGATAGAATCTTGAATATGCTGAAACTTGCTACAATTCAAAATTCCATGTCTATTATTTATGATCTTTTTTTTTTACAAGATGGAACCTCTTGAATTATGCCATTTCTAAACATTCTTTAAGTTTCTTAGCTTTTGGTAAATGGAGGCCTTGATCACTTTTTAGTCAAATTAAGGAATTCTACCCATCCGACCTCAAATTTAATCCATGGTACTCCATGATGAGTGTCTTATGTGTTTCACAAGAACTTGAATCAAAATTTTCCCTGTATGCCATATTCCTATAAGAACTTTGGTTCAAACAAACTTGCACACCATGCTTTGGATCTCAAAACTCAAATTTTGATGTTTGAACTTCCAATTCTAAACACCTCGCACCTCAAACTCACATGAATGGAGACCCTTGACTTTTAACCTTGAATGATGACAGATATTTGTAAAAAATGATGATGATTTGTACTTGGAATTTGAAACTTTGATGACTGAGATGTCTTTTGTAACTTTGGTGTAATGACTTGAATTTGTAATGAACAAAACTTTATAACTTCTTGCATGACAAATTTCCAATTATTCAAAACATTTGTCTCATTCAGTTTGAGCTTGAATGGATACTTGAATGAACTTGAGACAAACATGATAAACACTCGAATGTTATTTAAATGAATCTTTTTATCTTTTACCTTGGGGTGAACAATGATGTGGGACAATCTTGAAAATAACAACTTGAATCATGAAGAGATTTACTTGATACCATGTACTTTAATCTCAACTTATATTCATGTGCCATCTTCCTCCGCAAGAATTTATGAAATAAACCTTCGGGCATGCTATTTCCTTTTTTATCAAGTTGAGCCTTAACCCATGTTTGAAACCAAAGTTCTTGCACAAATATCCAAACAATAGCTTGTACCAATTATTCGCAATACCTTGACTGTCAAGCAACCAAATTTACCATACAAAATATCTTAAATCATGACGTACCCAATCCTAATTGATTAAATTAAGGATAGATGAACTTAATGCAACAATGACATAGTCAACAACCTGTATTGCAAGCATCATATGCATCCTGGATTGATAACAGATCTTGATCCTTTAGAGAAGATCTTAATACACCTCTAGTATTTACAAAACCTTGACCAAATGACAAGCACAATGATAGAATGAGGTGTTTTGAATCATGTACGCGAGATCACAACCTTATGTTATTGACAGGAATACCCTGCAACTTATTGTTCAACAGAAGATAATAACCTTGTAGCTTGATGGAGAAGAAATCCAAAAAAGAGAATGAACCAAAACCCTAATTCCACAGCTTGCTGCCTGAATAAGAAATCACCCCTTATTGGATACGAGCGCCTTAACCACTGGGAAACCCTAGTATCGCACAACCACTGGACTTTGAACCTCAAAGCTATATTGAATGAAATGTATGCCATGTTAGTGACCTAATGAAATAGATGCAGATGAATGCAAAAGTCTAAGCCAAAATAAAAGAAATTAGGAGGGCAAATTTTGGGGTGCAACAACAGTATGCTTTCGAACTAACCCATGCTTCAGCTAGGAATTTTAAGGGTTATAACGTGGCCTGGTTCACGGTTCAAGAAACAAAGGATAAAGGCTCAAATTTTATTTGTACCCACCCATTCTTCGTGATGTTCTTCGATCCTAAACTCATCTAATTGTGCATTTATACCCCGTTTTGAGTCTTTGCTATGATATTTCAGTGATGGTTCGGATACTGACAGATTATTTTGAACATGCAGTCATTTTGTTGAGAGTTTGTAGGACCTCTTTCTTTTTGCTTTCGTTATCCCTGTCTTTTTTCCTGAACTGTTTCTTTCTTGTGATTACAGTCAGCGGGATGCCCCAGTTTTTTTCTTAAGTCCCTTTCATAGGTTTTGACTTAATTTTTATTAGGAGGGATAACGATTGCCTGTCTTGATGATTATAGGGAACCATCACCGTCTTTTAGTTTGGGAGAACGTCTTTGATGCCATTCATTGTGCACCTGTATTAACTGAGAAAACTACCCTGCCCCAGGTTTTGATTAAGGGTTTTAATTTGTGTGAAAAGAAAAACTCCAACTTCTTTGGCTCAAAGGGGTTGACTAGGGATTATATTCCTTATAACTCCACTGTTTAGGATTTGAAACAACGCCTGTACATTGTCAGCGGGGTCTGTTCAAAAGCATACTGTAGAGATTTTGATATCATTTTTGTCGTCCTATTTCTAAAGGCTTAGAGTTTTTTAATCGAGAGTTGAACATCACAAAAAGGAAATATGAAGCAATTTAAGCATAGTGAAAATAATTAATTCAAAACAGACACGTGTAATGCATTAATGAAATAAAAAAGTTTGACATGACAATAATTGTTTGAATAAGCAAAGAAAAATACAACTTCAGAATTCAAATGAACAAAAGTGCTTTCAATCCTATCCATATTTTGGCAAGGGAGCAGTGATCACATTGGGAGTCTCAGGAGGGTCGAATTCGATCTCCTTAACGTTAATCATATTCTGAATCTTGTATTTCAGCGCCCAACAATCGTTAGTATCGTGCCCCGGGCTACCAGAATGATAAGCACACCTTGCATCTGGGTTGTAGTTAGGAGAAGAAGTCTTAGGGTTCGGATGAGGGTTTATCACTGTAATCAGATTCATCTTCAACATGTGCTGCAATGCTTGTGATAATGGCATGTTGATTTGGGTGAAATGCCTTTGAAGTCTTTCCCCCTTTGGCTGATTATTTCGTTGTTGTTGTTGTTGTTGTGTGTGTGCCGAATTAGAGATCAACACTGCCCCCACAGATTGGTGGTAGTCTTCCTGGCTATGCCTCTTTTGTCCATGCACAGCATTGACTTCCCTCTTGCCACCAAATAACTTCTTCTCTATACTCAAAGAGGTGTCTTTCTGGATCTTACCACTCAGGATCCCAGCTTCTACTCTTTCTCCAGTCAGAATCAGTTTGGTGAAACCCACTGACGAGCTGCCGATCAAATGATTGAAATAGGGGCCAGACAAGGTCCCAAGAAACATATCCACCAACTCCCTATCAGATAGAGGGGGTTGGAATCTTCCAGCAAGATCTCTCCACTTCTGAGCGTAGTCCTTAAAGCCTTCGCCTGTACCCATAGACATAC